CGGACATCCGGGTATTTTCACCGCCTGGCAACCAGTGGCGGTGAAAACAAAGGCCCAAAACTCGCAGAAAACGGTACTTTGGGATGATTGTTGAGACTCCTCTGAACAGTGTAACAAGATTAGCCCTACGTGTGTAACATATATAAATTTGGTTGTTCAGGATTACTTCAAAGTTGAGTTTGTGTTGTTTTCTCGAATTTTCACCGGCTCGACCGGCGTTCCACAGCAGCGTGCACAGAGCCCATAGTAATGCATGTACAGTGGTACGCGTCTTAGCAACGTGGAACGTCTCATGACGTAGCTCCGCCCCCAAGGATACAATATTTAGAGTTAGATCTTAAAGCAGCAATAGCTGGGATTTAGGGCAAAATGACCCTACACAAGGCCTGTCACATATAATATACAATTTTAAAACTAATTGCCGGTAATCTACCGTAATCTCAGAGGTTCACTGACAAAACTGGAATTCAATAGATGGCGAACTGGGCTCAACACCACAGCCATATTTTTTCACTTGTGATTTAATGTACGCCGGTATATAGCATACATGCTATGCTTTTTGTCAGTTTCGGTGATGATCATATCAAAAAAAAAGATCAGTTACAGCTATTGCCACTTTAATTTTCATAATTTGATCATTATACAGATTACCTGCCACAATTATTCAAATTTAAGATGCAAATTCAAAAAAAAAAAATCAACGCTCGCATGTGATGCATTCCTTACTGAACGTGCTAGGATTGTAAAAGCATAATGCATTTAAAAATGGGGGCATGGACCCTCTATCAATTACAAATCTCATGCAGAATTGACTGGATTCTCTAAATGCAATTAAAAGAATTTTCTGTAGATTTAGGAGAGTGGAATTTAATTCAAATAAATTCTTATAAAAGGATTTGCGACCACAATTTCATCTTGACCCGACACACCCAATAGTGCAAGATTTTATCCTAGACTCTGAATTACAATGAGATATCGTTCACTATTAAATACGTATTACCGGTACTGTAAAATCATTTATTTTCAACGACATTTAATTTCACTATTTTGATGTTTTGGGCATATTCAGCGTTTTAATTTCACAAATTTGTCAAGGAAACAATGAGTTTTATATGTTCACAAAGATTTAATTTAGCAGATTTTACTTATCAGCGAAAATAGCAAAAAATCTGATTTCAAACAGTTTTCACAGAAAGACATTAAAATCAATCTCCGAACAGGGCTAGTTGATAGTTGTAATACAAACATCTTGGGTCATTACAGGAACGCCACAAAGTCAAAGGCTTGTCCCTGTATGCCCAAGTGCATGCTTTGCAGCATTCTTGGATAACCATATAAAATTATTTGTACATCTTTTAACTTAGTAATAAATTAACAAGAACATTTGTGTACATCAATCTCGCACTTGTAGTTACTGCTTCGAAAGTAAACAAAGGAAAGTATGACAATGGTAACTAGCTTTCCAGATTGTAACTCCAAATGCAGATAAGATTCAAATGGATATATTCCAAAAAATTGAATAAAAAGATGGTAGTTTCCATTATCAGTTTATTCTGGTGTCCATTGTAATACTTTCCTAAGAATCAAATTTGAAATTCATGTCACCAGCAAATCTACAATTAACACAGCCAACTATGAAGTTTAAATGTATATTATTTTATTAGGATCATTAAACGCAACTGCACTTGCATCTGTTTTTAGTCTTCCAAATTTAACCTGCTTCATATAAAACGAAGTCAGGGTACTATCAAAATCAATTCAGAGTTTAAATCTGCCTACAATCAATATTGAAACACAATCAATATATTGCTACATGCTTGTTCACGTAAACTGCGAAGCAACCAAAACAAATAAGAACGTGGACCAGACATGCTAATCATAAAATTTACATAGCCATCCATATAATAATACGGCTACAGTAACAAACGTTAAATTATCTACAATGCTGTTGCATGAACAGCGATTTTTTTATGAAGTTAATAAGCTGTGTCAATCTTTCTGCCCAACTTTGTTTTTTGTTTGTTTTGGTTTACCTAAAAATACACTTTACACAAAGGAATGTACCAAATTGCCACCACACATGCAATAAAATTGGACTGAAAACCCACAAAATACGGCAGGTTCTCAAAAGTTAACTTTAAGAGCCCCACCCCACTTCCTCAAGTTATATGGACTACTAACATGGTACATTGAAAAAAGTTTCACTAAACAGGGCCCTTCTTCAGTCTTTATACAATTGATTACACCCCATTTTAAATACTGTAACAATAAAGAGGTGCTCAAATTGGTTGAACCAGAATAGCCATCCGAGCGTTTCCCTATCCCCCATTTAAGCAATCACCCCCACCCACAGGACATTTCCTCCCATTCCCACCCTCCCCCCAGGGAGACTCCAGGCAGTTCCTGACTGTAGCTTAATCATTGTTGTACATATAATTCCATAAAGATTAATATTAAATTATCACTTAAAAAATAATAAAAACAGAAGCTTGAGTGGTGTGTAATGTTTTAGATAGGTTTTGTGTCTACAGCTACAACAGGTGGATCTCAGGAACCTTCTCACACAGACCTATTTCTTCTCTGGAGTATTTTGGTTTACGTAGGTGCAGGCCAGGCAAAATTGCTTTTTTTCCCTTCTTATAACATTTTCTACTTTGCATTTTTCAATTGATTTGATAACCAGTCAAGTCCTTCATAAAGGCCATCTCCACTGGTGGCACAAGTTGCCTGGATATACCAGTTACGCTGGCGAAGTGAATGAAGACCTAGTTTGTCTGTGATTTCAGCTGCATTCATTGCATTTGGCAGATCCTATAAAAAATGGAGAGCAATTGATTATCGAAGAGCAAGTACACACAATTTGTGTTCGAGGAAGCAGAACAAGTTTTCGTCAGTTTTCGCAATACCATAAGATCATTCCAACTGTCCAATTTTTCTCACTATTGAGACAACTGAGCACACTATCTTTAGCACATTAACCTAAATACATAACCCATACATGTTTATCGGGTAGAAATCACAAATGACATATTGCAATCTTGCTATTTTGAGCACAACATTAATGATTAGTTGTTACCAGGGATCTCGCCAGCCCAACGTGAGTGAGTGCCTGTCAGTCATGAATATTAATGAGCTATATGAATATTAATTAGCAATGAATATTAATTAGCAATGAATATTAATGAGTTCGGTCGCAGTGCAAAATATTTTTGAAATTAAGACATGTTTCACAATTCACAAGAGTTTTAATTTAAAAATTGAATATATTCGAAATGCGAAAGGTGCAGACTATAAAACAGAAACAAATAAATTATTGTTGCAATAATAATGTCTATTGTAAAAAGTTAAATAAAACGCATTTGAAACGTTTCAGCCAGGAATATGTTCACGGTCCTATTTACTCTAAATACATTCTCCTTCAAAAAAAGTATTGTTGTAATTTATTATTCGTACCATCAACTTCTAAAACGTATATATTCACAGTAATGAACGAACAAATAAAACTTCCAAACACAAAGTTACAACGTGACATAACTTACTTCACGATGTTATACACCGATTATACCAATAATTCTTAGTCATGATGCCAAGCAAAAAAATTTACTTCTTTTTTTTTATTTGAAATAAAAGTAAAATTTGACTTATTTTATTGAATATTTTTGATTACACGATCGCTTCGGTAAAAAACACAGCCCGCCATGATGTTTGTGATGTATTAGTTGACCGGCACGTATTCTTTGACCCGACGGGTCAATAATTCCATTAACCAATCAGAATGTCGCATGGTAATGCCGATAGAAACCAAAGTTTTCCGAATGGTTGTGATTACATTGCGGAAGTAAAGCGATGTTGTAGCATGATGTGTTGGTATGGATTTCAGATGAAAACTGCATGACGTATTGACATTGATTTCAGTTGAAAACTGCACGATGGTTTTCGAAAGAGGAGATTAGCAATTTTTAAAATGTTAAATAGGTCTTGAAAGAAGAGTTTTTACATGATTCGCAATGATAACAGTTCAAATGTATTTTACCAAATCACGCAATAAACACGTTGATTTTTTTCTTGAGTAGCGTAAACCGATCGTGAACTCCACTTTGACCATGTTATATCGAGGAAGAATTGATTTTGAAAGAATTTTAGATTTCAATCTAAAGACTGTCTATCACAGAAAGTATTTACTTACAAACAAAGAGGTGCTAATTTCACAAAATTGACTAGTCGCTACGTATCGTGCGACTAGGTCTATTGTTTACAAATTATAATCCACAACTGGCAGGATTCGTGTCGGTCGGTACATAATTATAACAATCTGACAATAGTCCTGGTCGGAAGCATTCCCGTGGGGGTCGCTAGTTTTGAGTGCTGGTCGGGCCCGACCACCGCCGAACTTTAAGCAGAAACCTCAAAGAAAGTAAAGTGGTACCTGTTTGTTTGCAAAGATAAGCAATACTGCGTCTCTAAGTTCGTCTTCAGCTAACATCCTCATGAGTTCTTCCCTTGCTTCTGTGATACGTTCTCTGTCATTACTGTCTACTACGAAAATTAAACCTGAAACCAACAACATGAATATTTTCACTACCATGTTGTGTTTCCCAGTGATTGACATTCATCTCCAGTAATAGGAATGATGTGGCATATTCATAATATGGTTATTGAACAATTTGATGAAAAAATAAGAGAAAGTTGTTATTACAAGATTGTGAAGATTGACAAAGTCAGGAGGGGTTCGATTAACCCCTATTTTAGTACAAGGAGGAGGGTCCCATTCCTAAACAGAATATATTCTTCCTTTCCATTTATTATTCATCTGAACTCGCTATACAAAAATACTAAGGCAATCGTGGTGCTAGTTGCAAAAATAATGCACCAAACCGTTACACCTGCTACACACAAATACCTAAAGTTTGACCAAATGTATCCCCGAAGCAAATATGGAATACATGTACATCCTATTTGCTATTTGAATGAAAATGAAACAAACAGAAAATTTACTTTAATAGATTTAGACGTTTCTTTTATAGGGCTTCAACTTTCCCCTCTCGTGGCATGCGAAGTTCAATTCTAGTTTTTTACTTGATTTGGTGCACAGACATTCTGATTAGGATTATTGTGTACCAGGTGATAAAACAATGATCATAGACCATGGGACGTTAATTATTAATTTAAATACACTCCAACGTGGTGCCGAGCCACTTTACTGCAGTCACAGCTGTGGTCTGCACACAACCCATAACAAAAGAATTATAAATAATGGTAATGTTCACACAACGTTAACCGGACATGGTGAACATGGACAAACTAGGAAATTGGCTTTCTTTGAGAAACCAACTGTCATAATCACTTGAAGCGAGTTGCATCCCACTAACGCACGAGATGATGAAATGTTAGCATGAAGTAAGATTTTCACTTACCTTGTGTGTTCTGGAAATAATGACGCCATAGCGGCCTGATTTTGTCTTGACCACCTACATCCCACACCGTAAAACTGATATTTTTGTATTCAACTGTTTCTACATTAAAACCTGCAAACGATGGCAAAGAACAATTCATATTAGGCGTTATAAACACATGAAAAACATACACCAGATTCAAGTTAATTTTTCAGATTATATCACCAAATTTGTTAGTAGGGGATTACACTAAGTACACATCTGGACAAGTGTTTCAACATGAAATTCTAGTTTTTAAGTGCAGTACCTCCCACTGTTTTCACTCTGGTCAGATATAATTCTTACCACTACGAGGGATAACAAAACTGAAATTTTTTTTATGAAAGGTTCATAACTATATTGAAAAAAATACAATAATGTAGCTTTATATCAAAGTACACCATTTTTTATTTAGAAGTAATAGGCTTCTATCATAAATTATTTGCTTTTTATGCCCCTATTTTACAACTGAATACGAAAATTTTATTTTCTACCTGACATACCTAGAGATGAACTGAACCAATCACTACTTTACATTTGTTTCACCACTTCATCAAATCGTTATGGTAGACAAAAAAGAAATTACTCTGGACCATTTTAGGTTCTGAGAAATTTGATGCATTTAAATCAAAACTTTCAAGTTCAACTTTGAAAAACTAATTTAAACAGTTCAGTTTTATCGCATGAACAATTCCAAGCACATTAGTGTCATGTACAATAAATTTTCTTCTATGCATGCACCTTACACATTCATGAAGAAATTGATTTTCTAGAGCAAGACTATTTATCAAATTGTTATGCATACAATACAAGTGAATCACTGGTATGGGATAGTTTTGACCAAATCAAACTAACATACAAAGTGTGGATGCTAGTGTGCCACTAGTGTGCTAGTGACAACTATCCTAATCACTCACAATTTAGCTGCAATTGCAATATAGTCCATGCAACTTGCAGTTTGTAAACTACTTACTACATGTAGCTGTGGTAATAACACTTCAAACAAAAAGTAAACTGCAATACACTCCTTATCAATTAAGTTTAACCTGCTGATAGAAAATTTCAACATGACAACCTTAATGTCAAAAATGCACCTTTTTCCACAAAACTAATTTCAATATTTTAAACCTAAAATCAATTCACCACCAGACTGATTCATATAAATGGAACTATTTTTTTAATCAGGTGCCTAATGTACTACACATTAACACCCTAAATGATGGGGCCAAAACAAGCAAATGAACAGAAACCACTACCACTATATCCGGCACAGCTGGCATATAAAAAAGAATATAATCCTCAGCTTATGAGCACGAGGTTATAAAAACCCTACCAACTACCAGTCATAATGAAAAAATTTGTAATCAATACAAAAAAACGGTGTGTTTTTTGCCAATAAAAGTGGAACTGGTTTCCACATACTTGAACTTGTGGGTCACTTTGAAACGAGAGTAAAAGAGAATTTAGGAATATTTTAAATGTAAAATTTCAAATTTTTGAGTTGACTCTAGCAAGTGGTTTAACAAAAATAATGCTACTAGTACTTACCAATTGTAGGAATCGTCGTGACAATTTCACCCAATTTGAGTTTGTATAAAATTGTCGTTTTACCAGCAGCATCAAGTCCTACCATCAAAATACGCATCTCTTTTTTGCCAAATAGGCTTTTAAATAAGCTACTAAACGTACTCCCCATGATGAATTATGTATTCGTGTTAACTGTGGCACTAAAAACTAAATCAAAAATTAGACCTGTAAAAATATTAAAAAAACACAAGATCAGCCAACATTGAAAAAGCTCCAGTAAAAAAATTACATGCAAAGGGTCTATCAAATATACAACTATAGAATTATTCTCTTGAAACCATTGAACGAGTTTCCGGCTTTGGTGGCATACACATTTAAGATACGAATTTCGCTTTTATATTCAAGGTAGAATGTGAAGATCCGCGGAGATTTCAACTTATTGTCAAATTATATACAAAGTTCATACTGTTCAACGTAACTTTCACTTGTGACGATATTTCTTGCTATGATTGAACCAAACAAAATCTAGGCGTTGGCTTTATAGAAATCCGAATATGCCGGCGACCAATTCAGACACTGGACCAACAACTTGAACCGCTTTCTGGGCTACAATGTTGGACATTTTTCAGTCGTACGTTCACTAGCTTAATACACGGTTGTATTTGTTGCCAAATGAACCCGTCAACATTATGACCCGTGTAACTCTCAGCTAGACTTCAAAGTCGCAGTAGTAGGAAGTGCACGAGCCGAAAAAAATAAGCTTCGTACGTATGGCGGTAATCACTCCGGCAAATGTATCATTATAAACGTACTTATTAAAATAACTTATTGCAGAAAAATTTTAATACCGTTAATACAGTATATGTCCTTTCGGAATATGTCACAGATCGGTTGTTTTGGTACAATATGAGAGTGTTATATCACAGAAAATAGTCACTTCACGATACGGAATCTCGGCAGATAAGTACACAGGAAACAAAATGGCGACGAACTAAAATTTGTAAAGCCGGTTTTCCAGTCAGCACCTATAACGCGACAAACAAGTCAGTATTTGTGGGTATATAAATACCGACAAGAGTTGTCTTACCTGTCCAAGATGTTTATGTTTGAGTCTAGGCAGAGTGAAAGTCTAAATACAATGGTGTTTTCGGTACTGACCTCACACTCGATGACTTCAAAATGGCGGACGTGGAAGCAGTAACGTTACATGTGCCACGTCAATGTCTAGGCAATTGGGTACTGACTAATGTTCAAATGAGGCACCCTCCCTTGTCCACGTAGTGATGTCATCCAAACCTTTGAACCTCATTAACATAGTGACGTCACAGTATGTCGCCCTGTTCCACTGTTCGGGGAAAGTGACGTGTATTAATCCCACTTAAATTCCAATTACTAAGATAAACACGTGTCTTACTAGTACTATGCAACCAATACAAATATAATTAGGGTCGCATAAACCCCAAATAGTAAGCACAATTGAGCCTCGAAGGACAACATTTTGAGTCGAACCAGGGGGAGCCCGGGCCGACCTGGGGGTCTCTAGAACAAACAATCGAAAAGTAACACTTTTTGTTTTGTCTACACGTTATATAAGGTTGCATTAGACCCTATTTTTTTCAAATTGTTTGCAACTGGCTAGAGATAAATGATGATAAAAACGTGATTCCACCCCGGGGTGGGGGTTCTCTGAATAAAATACAGTACTCAAGCTGAAGTAAAAAAAAAAAAAACGCGTAAAAGAAGTGTTATTTAGTCATTTGACGCGTATGTGTGTACCGTATTTAGGGTCGAATATTTTAGATATAACTTAGAATATAGTGATAAAGTGTGAAAAAAAAATGAATCTCATGAATTCATGTTACCTCAACTTGGAAACAGTGTGATTTTAGTTTGTATATTGGGTATCTATTTTAAGTTTGTGCACTTGAAAAGGATATAATTTCACAAAAGTAAGTACGTGTTTAGAAGCTTATTTGAAAAGCTATATTTCAGCATGGGTAATGTAAAAAGGTTAATACAATGTACTAGTAATTAACTTCAATATATACAAAAGGCAAAACTAAAAAAAAACAATAATGATATGAAGTCTCGCTCTATTGTTTGTTCATTTACTGTTAGCATGGAGGTATTTATACCTGTTCAGTTAGTTATTTGGGTACACATCGAGAATGATAATCGTCCGTCGTGTTTTGTTTGTAGTGAATGTATGTATTTAAATTCTTTATCCAGATCCACGAAATTTGCATTTGAACTGTTGATAATGTAAAACATTGTATTTATTTGTTTAGTATATAATTGTTAATATATTAAATGATGTTCCTCATCTTCAACTTCATTACAGTGGGATCATAGCCTGTCCTTCGTTTACTGTTCAACGGCATTTCTCAATGGCAAGCTTATATGTGGATTTTGTTCTTGTGTGTGATGAAATGTTCTATATTGTCCTGGAAAATGGTTTCACGAATACAAAATGTCAATTTTTCACGCATTCACTTTTGTGAAACAATTTCCCTTTTTAATTAACATACAACCTGTTAATGTATGGTAACCAACGCGTGTCGTTTTGAAAACGGCGTTTTTACCCGCATCTTCGTAGCATCTAGCAAGATAATGGAATGATCCCAACTGTGGGCGTGCCAATACAATGGCGCCATCAAGTCTAGATTGGAAAAGACCCAAGTGTTTTGCAAAGTTCCAAGATATATTGTTAACTGACTGTCCGAATAATTCTCAGAGTATGTTCACTAACTTGAGCTGATGTAATAGTATTGCATATCATAACATTTGTTGAGTAATAATGTTATCACGTGATATATGTTTTTATAAGTTAAATTGACTCCCGTTTGATTCTTCATCACGTGACATTCATTTTGGCAATATGCACCGTGACTATACTAAAAATGTCTCTGCCCGCGACTACATGCTGTGAAATACTTTATTTTAGCTGAAAATAGTTCTTTTGCTGAAAAGACATTTTGGCTGTTTTGTATGACATTTATTGTCGATGAGTTGAATGTAAAACATAGGGAAAAGGTATCTTACAGTGGTTGTCGCCATGGTTTCTGTTTGTTATACTGCCCTCAACAGTATTTGTTGTTATTACAAGGACATAGGTGACTCACCCGAAGCAGTCGGTCCGAGGTCGCAGTGCAGCGGCAAGAGAGTTGACCGTTCAAGTTCCACACACGGTTTGTAAAACGCCGTATACACAAACTATGACGCCATATGTACTGCTTGTGTAAAACGTTCCCAACATTATTTTTCAAATACTAGTATTTCAACAATTATCAAGTTCATTTTTTTCAAAAGAGAAACATCAAAACAAAAAATAATTGCGTTATTCTATATCACAGAGTTGACTGAGATTCACCATAAAAATGTGCATAATTATCGTCTTCGTCTTTGGTAAGAAGAACATCTGTAATTGATATGTGAATATAGTGTTTTAGCGTCCCTTATATAAAAAAGGGAAGGTGGTTTACAGACACAAGCTAAATATATATTACTAAAATTATTTATCATGTTGTAAAAATGCCAATAAAGAAACGCAAAAAATATCCAAGTTGTATTGAACACAATAAATTGTATAACTTCACTTTTGAATAAAGTATTCAAGTTAAATCCCAGTAACAGGAATATAACCCAACATTATATTCATACATTAACAGTTCATTGCATAGACTGTCTTTTATTCAACTGAGCTTACACTAGTCTCAAAAAAAGACACGGTGTCAGTCACTCTTTACAGATAATAAGTCTGAATTGTGAATTCCTCGATTGTTTCATTTTCATTTCATTACTCACTTAAAATGTCTTGTAAAACTGATTTAATAAAAAAAAAACATTTTAGTAGACACATAGTTGCATGTTTTTTTTACACTGTGATATGAAAAATATAAACTGTCATTTAGATGATGATGATG